TTGGGCTTGGGCCCAATACCCCAACAAATTTAAGCTATAAAGCAATTAATCAATTCAATTTTACATTAAACAAGTAATTCAAGCATTTATAAAAAATAAGCAATTATACTAATTTCAATTGTGAAAGTATATACCAAACTCTTGAAACTAGGCAACTTACTTCGGAAGTTCGGAGAAGAGGAGTTCAGACTTCAGAGTTTGGACTTCGATGTCGGAGGCTCAGAGAAACAAGATAGGGCGGTCAGAGGCAAATCTGAGACACAGCGACGGAGAGTCCAGATACGATGCGGCAAGTCGGCGATTGAGGACGAAGGGGCCAAGGCGGGACTGCGTGTCTGCTGTATGTTGGATGTCGGACTGGGATGTGGTCTGTAGCGAAGGAACGACGCGCAACATCGCAAGGGAAGGTGAAACGGGTAGATAAGATTTGGGTCCAAAATGACGCCGTTTCCTTTATTCCTGTGCACTTAACCAAATGACGTTGTTTGGCGGACTGATTTAATTACTCCGTAAAAAAGAACAGACTGGACGTTTCTTTCTCTCCGCTTCGCTGAATCGAGCACCGACCGCAGGTTTATTCTCAAGGAAGAAGATGAAGCTACATGGGCGGCAGTCTAAATACCCAATGTTAGTAAAGAAAAATCTCCGGTGAAGGGGTGGCGCCAGCACCGGCTCGCTCCCCCTGGTTCCGCCCGTGCCTACTTCCATTAAAATTTACTTGTAAGCTAGTTTTGTTGTATTGAGTCTACAAAGAATTACCTAAAATATGACTACTTTTCATCCAGATGTAAAATAAATAATACCTAAAATAAGACGATATTAAAATACGAATAGTGAATAAAAATGTGATTTAATAATTTTAAATGACAATTTTCATGTTAAAACTTTACATCACATCACAGTGACTACAATATATGTACAAAATCACATTTTTCATAAGTTTTGTTCTAGTACCCCTTATCTTTTACGGGGTATAAAATACCACTTCTTTTTTGGTTTTTCAAAAAATATGAATACTTCTCTAAATGAATTTTACAGGAGTTTTAATTTCATTTATCATCTATTGCCTTTGTCACATTCAAAGATTTCTATTCAATACATCTTGATCAACGTAAAATCTTCTTAAAATCATTAACTTTATATATTCAACTTTCATCAAATTTGATTTTTTTAAGATTTTATAAAAAAATCTAATTACGTACAAGAATTAGTTAATTTTGAGAACAGTGGAATATAATAATCCGTGTGAAAACATTATGCAGTATTACCCAAAGAGTGACATTTTAGAGAAAATGTAAATCAAACCCCTAATGTTGTTACGCAGTAACGTATTTTTTATCACGTAATAACGTTTTGTTTTGTTGCGAAAACAATTCAAATAAAAATAAACACGCGAAAGGGACAATTATGACATCTACTTCGAAACTGTCATTCTTTACTTCCCCTTTCCCCTTGTCCAAAGAGAGCCAAGCCAGCCCATTTCCATGTGATGCTGTGTAATTGTGCAACGTCATCAGTTCTAACAAATCACTATATTGTTGAAATTTTTCATTAACATATCTCAGATTTGCTTTCTAAAAATACTCAGATTTGCACTTTTCCAATCTTTGTTTCTGTTCCAGATGAAGCGACCTCATGATTCCGGGATAGACGGCAACGATCCCGACGGAATCAGCGATTCCAAGAAGCCGAAGACGGCGATGGAGGGGGAGATAGAGACTGGGGGTGCATCGGCAGCGAAGATCGCGGCAGAAACCGTTCTTTCGGACGAGAATTTGCTTTCCGAGGTTCTGAAACACCTGGACGGGCGTACGCTAGCGTGGGCGGCGTGCGTTAGCAAGCTGTGGAAGCGGACGGCGGAGGATGAGCGGCTGTGGGAGGTGATGTGCGTCAAGGACGGCTCCCGCAATCCACAGCATCGGCAGCTCCGCCACGTGGTCGTCGCCCTAGGCGGCTTCCGCCGCCTCTACTCGCTTCATCTCTGGCCGCTCGTCAAGCTACCATCTCATCCCTCACCGTCCGCGCCGGGGTGTACCTGGCCTTGCCTGCCCCCGCCGCCCAAAGTCGCTCCGACCGTATCCGCCGGCGTGAAAAAACGGTGGGGAAACGACGAAATGAATCTGTCGCTCTCACTCCTCTCGATCCGGTATTTCGAGACGATGAATTTCAACAATCGCAGCAAGCAAACCTGATTAAATTAAATCGTTAAATTTCTCGTTTGTAGTTTGTACCTTGCCTTTGATACTCCGTATTAATCATCGGTCTGTATTTGTTGTAATTAGGCTTGTTTTAATCAGAGATCTGTATTCTGTAATATGTGAACTTTTTAAACATTTCGAAATGCTTGTGATTTGATCAAAATTTATGGGCTCTTATCTCCTATGTAACTCAAGTTAGCCAAGTTATATGTTCACATTAATTTTACACCAAGGTTTACATAATCTATATATTGATATACGTTCAGAATAACCCAGTTTTTCACCTTGAATCAGTCAAAATATGCCGATTCCGGAGGATTAGATCCTGTAACTGATGTTCTATGGCTGACCGATATTGCTCAATGCTCACCAGTCACCTATGTTGCACCGATACTTCACCTCGATGCCGTATCCGCGTATCCGATACGTATCCGTATCCGATACTCACCGATACGCGTCATGTACGTATTGGGTCCGTATCCGTAATTTAATAAAAGTATCGGGCTTAATTTTAAAAATATTGATACTTCCGATACCCGTATCCGTGAACCGATACGCGTATCCGAACCTATAACCTCTCATTTGATACACGACATGACGAAAATTCAGTAGCTGCCCAAGCGACCATAACATGTGGAACATTGATAAAGATGGTTTCGGGAGTATGAAAAATAAAGGAATACTATAATTTGTCATTTCATTGCTTGATGAGCTTTAATTGAAACAAGACTTACATGTAAATGCAAATAGAGAACAAAAAAATATTATTTGAATTTAAATCAAAATATCAATACTTTAGTTTTTTTTAGACTAGTCTTTGAAACTTTATTATAATAGTTAATTTTTTGTACTATTATTATTTTATTTATGAACCCCTGAATTATATATATTTGCAAATTATACTCTATATTTTTATTATTTATAAATATACCCCCGTACCCGTATCCTATAATTTTTTAAAGTGCCGTATCGTCGTACCCGTATCCGCGTATCCGAGTATCGGCGTATCCGTATCCGTGCAACATAGCCAGTCACCATCATTTTGGTGTTGCTATTATTTTCCTAATGGCGTGTACAAATAAATATTGCATATGTGAGAAAAAAACATCTGGGTTGTACAGAGATATTTGAGCAAGAGGAACTGCATCACGAATAATGTGTACTTGCTATATTTGCACATTCAGTAGGAGCATATCACTATTCACTAGTTTAACATCACTAGAACATATACGGAGTACTATTTACAAAAATAAAATACCAGTGGATCTATAGTCTGTACTAGAGCACCTGGAAATTGAATCAACTACCGAGTAATACAGAAGCTAAGTGCCTAAATGTATAAGTATTTAACTACGTCTCTTGTCAACAATCATACTAAGAGATTTTAAATTGCTAAGAGTGCATGCATGCAAAAACACAAACAAAATGCATACAATAACCCACACTTGTTAATTTTAGCTGCACATTTGTAGCTTCCTGACTATATCCTAATCTAATGCGCAAGCAAGTGGTGCAACCAGTGGTTATTCCATGGAAAATTACATTTGTGCACATAATTAGTACACACACAGTATACACAGCCCCAGTTGCCTCTATACACATATAATTTGTTTAAAAAAAATCAATTACAATCTGTTGATTATTTGTGTAAACATGTTGTGTACAACAAAAATTATCCTTATTTGGTGTAATCCTTTCACCTTTTAGTGACAAGCCACGATTGCAAGGAGGCAATATCACCTTTCACCTTTTAGAGCGAGAGATGTTTTTTTTAGAAAAGCGAGAGAGGACCTTGATGCCGCTCCATCTCTTTGAATATAGTTCGCGAGGGCATTTGCTATGATAGTAAGTACCTGTTTAATTTGAATGAGAAAGGTAGAGATGTAATGTGTTACATTGTTTGGTTTGATGGTTAGTGTATCATGTAGGGCATTTTTTAAAAATTCCACATGTCATTGTATTGTACTACGTATCAAATACTCTACAATTAAGACAGAGTTATAATGACTTTGTGTGTAATTGAAAAACAATTTACACAACAATTAAGACACTGTACTTATATTTTACATGTAAAATATAAGAGCCCGTTTGGTAGCACCAAAATCGGCTGTTTTGGCTGATTCTGTTGAAATTTATGATATTCTGGCTGGAGTGGCTGTTTTGGCTGATTCTGCTGATTTAAGAAAAAAATATTTTAAAAATATATTTTATTAATAAATTAAAGAAAAAATTATATGTAAAAATAGCTAAAATGATCCTCTACAGTAACTTCAGCCAATACAGCCAGAAAAGTAACTCCAACCTTACTTTTTCGGCTTATTACACAATTCAGCGCGTGAAAGTAAAAGTTACGTGTTTGGTGAAAAAGCTGGCTGATAAGCCTGATAAGCCGAAAACAGAGTTCTCCAAACGGGCTCTAAATAAAATTTATAAATATGATTACCGTTGTTTTTTTCTTCTTAAAATAAGTCATATTCCCTTCTTAGAGAAAATTTATATTTTAGCCAAAATTAAAAAAAGTTATATTTGGCTTAAAAAGTATATTTTGATTTTTTTAGCCAATTATTTCTAACTTATCTGCTTAATATTAATGTCAATATCCTTGTGACCTTTCCTTGAAAGTGCCACACCCATACCTTGAGACCATAAAGTACTTGGCAAGTATATTTTGAAATAAAAATAAGTAATTCCATTTATAAAAATTGTACGAATATTAATCGTATTTTAGAGTAATTTTAATGGGTAATACCAAATCAGCCCGTTTAATGGGTAATATTAGAGTAATTTTGAATCCAGTATCGGCAGTCGAACTGCTCTAATTTAAAACAGCATGGTTTTGTGAGGCGCCACGTCTCTGGTCTCCTCCCTCCGGTGCTGAACCCCACTCTATTTTTCGCAACTTCTCTGGTGAATGTAAGACCAGCTCGGAAAGTGGGTTGATCATTTGCCGATGGATTTTGAAGAAAGTCAGCTGCAGACTCGATATACCGGGAGCTCGAAGGCGGCGGTAACGGACGATTCCGTCACCGTCTCAGACCATGTCAACGTCACCACCGGTACCGACGCCCAACCTACATCGCCTCCTCCGCTGTCTTCCCCTGACCTCACCTCCTTCAAAGAAGGTGAAGAAGTCATTGTTTATCACTGCAGTCATCCGTACGCAGCTAGGGTAACTCTACTGGCTCTATGCTGACTAAAAATCTCAATTTGAATATGCATTAAACTCTTCAACGGAAAGGAATCAAGGATTAATGAAATTTAAAGCCTTTAGGCTTTGTTGAATACTGGAAGTAATTGTTAGTCCTGGACTCGAATTTTGTTTATTGAACGTTCTCCAATAAAGCTTTCTTCTTCTTCTTCTTCTTTTTCTAGTAGACAACTTTGCTAGTATAATATGCAATACAATTGTGTGAGTACATATTTTTATCAAGTCCAATCTTTTTCCAGCGTTTAGTGTCCAACTAGGCTCGATAATGTTCTCCAGTTCCTGTAGTATGCCCAAAGTGTTGAGTGCAATCTATTTGTTCAGCTATATGCCATTTCCCCCTAACAATTTATGAATTGTTTTTTTGGCCCATTTTTTTTGGGGGGGGGGGATGGAAGATTCAAAGGGCTGAGTTCAACGAGAAACAGTGGAGGTATTTTGTTCACTATATTGTAAGTATCATGCTTCTTGGCTAATTTACTTTACCACCTGCTACCTACAATGGAACATAGCCTTGTGCATCATGGAAGCAGTGCTGACACAAAACATATTTTGATTGTTTGCAGGGTTGGAAAAAAAGGTGAGTCTATATGTGCCACTTCATGCTCCTATTAAATCAAAAGCTGAACAAATTTGAGCTTTGCTGAAAGTTTAGTAAACATTTTATCAGCTGGGATGAATGGGTGGGTGTGGACCGGTTGCAAAAATGGACTGAAGCGAACATCCGAAAGCTAGAAGAGCGTGGACCCCAAACAAAACCCCCTGCAGGTTGCATTCATAGCATGACAAGTTGTGGTTTTAATTTACATCTTCAGCATATGCCGTCGGTCTCCTCAACTCAGACCTTGAGTATTGTATAAAGTTACACGCACAAACACATTATGAGTACATATGTTGATTAAATACTGCGAGCATTAATAGTAGGCTGTTTCTTTTTAATTTCTTTGCATTTTCTGACATTTTTAGGGTTTTCATGCTTACACAAACTATTATAAGTATATTGCTGTTTTTCCTATTATATTAGGTGTTCTATTCACTTTACAATCCTAAGATACTTAATGTGAGTATAAGTGGAAATTATTTAGGGAAAGGATTTGGCTATGCTGGTTTTCAAAAGGTCGGAACGCCGTACCACAAACTCAGGATTAAGGCCTAGGCAGTTGGCCGACCATTATAAGTATAACTGGTTTTATTGAAAATCACAAAAACATTTTATCCCCTTTTCTTGTTTTGTTTTGTTTTGTTTTGTTTTGTTTTGTTTTGTTTTGTTTTGTTTTGTTTTGTTTTGTTTTGTTTTGTTTGAATACATTGAAAATGAACATATTTTTTCTCATTTTATAGGTCCTACATTCCATTTTTGCCCATATCAAGCAGGATTCACTTTCCCAACTTGCACACTATTGACTTTGTATTCTTTTCAAATCAGTTTTTCATCATATTTTAACTTTTCAGAATCATTTGACATCATTTTATTTGGTTTCATTTACGGCATACCCACAAAAGGAAGACATATTTGCCCTGTCAAGATAGGTTGAACACACTCAGTGAGTCCAATTATGGGGTCAAGACACTTCATTAAACCGAGACCTAAAGCATAAAGAAAAAATTATTCCATATGGGCCATCAGCCCATAAATAGAAAGAGAGTGGGGCAAACGAGTTCCGACAATAACAAAATCAGCTTATAAAAAACTTAAGGTCATTAAGATTTTACCAATAGGGGATATTAGTTATTATCAACTCCATTTGTTTTGGATTCTTTTTATTATGATAACATACAAAGCTTTGTTAAGCACTTTGGGAGTTGTGGCAGGCACAAGCAGTAAAAAGCGGAAGAGATATGATGCTCAAAAGGTAAAATCTATGCCATTTGTTTTCTTTGCATCTTTGCTGTGTGCAACATTATTGGACTTCTTGGTGACAGCCTCTTTTGGCTTATGCATGTATTTGGAAGTGGAAGTGATCCTTAGAATGCAATCAGGATCTTAACTAGCTGTGAGATCTTGATTGTCTGTTGCAATAACACATTTGCCTAACAATGCCGGCCTTATCACTTTTGGCAGGACAAAGGTGGACTACCTTCAGAGAATTTTGTTTTTAACCTCCACATTCCACATCCATTAAAGAAGCAGCTAATTGACGATTGTGAATTCATTACCCATTTGGGCAAGGTAAACTATAGACACACTGTTATTGCATTAAGCTTCATTTTCCATTCCTTTGTGTTGAGAGATATTTTAGGCAGGAAATAGTTGAAGAAAATATGTTTTAAATAATCCCTGATTTTCCCTATTCTGCCTCCTTGTAAGTTCTATAAATACTTAGCCATGTAATTATTCAGAAGAATAAATATACATAATTCGCTTCCTTACCTGATTCACGTCACTTTGCATGCACACCTTCAGTCCTTTTTTTTCTATTTTATTTGGAGGTGTTTGGCTCAAGAGTTTTAAACCCCAGTATCGACTCTGGTTACGTTTTTTTTCTAGTACTTGGGGTACCAGAATTGAGTCCTGGAAGAATTAAAACACTAATGCACATAATAAAGTCCACTAAAAGAAAAAATCTGGAATTGAAAATGAGGGAGGTAGAGAGGAGTTGAGCAGGGAAATAAAAAATGACTATGTTACCTGAAAACTACCAAACAAAGAGACTAGTTTCCCAAGAACTTTTTCAACATACTAATTATTGGAATCATTTTGGTGTTTTTACCAAACGCCCTAACTGTAGTTATTGGAAACAGTTGATTTTTTTGCAATAAGTGAAACACTTTTGCTCCCGGCTCCTTACCTAACACAAACACAAACTCCTGTTTCAAGAACTTTTGTTGTCCAAAAAGAGTGTCCTCTTTAAACGAATACCAAAAACTAAATACCATCAAGTGAAATACAACAATTCATTCTCCACCGTTTAGTTCACCCTCTTTCCTTTTGGATTGTCCCAAATTAGGGAAAAGGGTCAGATAAGCCCTCGAACTTACATAAAAAGGTCAAATAGGCCCTTATATAGGAGGCTTTGGCGGTCCGTCGCCATTTGGGACGGTTCCCGGTGGAAGTTTTTGATGAAATTTTTTGAGCATCTAATTCATTAAGTCTAGTTTACTCATACCAAATTTCAGCTAAAACTTCAATGGGGAAGGCATTCAAATGAATTCTTGAAGATAACTGCGCAGTTAAAAACGCAGTTATCTTCAAGAATTCATTTGAATGCCTTCCCGATTGAATTGTTAGCTGAAATTTGGTATGAGTAAACTACACTTAATGAATAAGATGTTCAAAAAATTCATCAAAACATTTCACCAGAAACCGCTCCAAATGGCGACGGCTGGAAAGAGCCTCCTATATAAGGGCTTATTTGACCTTTTTATGTAAGTTTGAGGACCTATTTGACCCTTTCCCCCCAAATTATCTTCTCATTTATCTTCAAGGAATGAATAATGGAGTTTGATATCATTATTTTCCTTTCTAAATAAATCTGAATTGCACAATTTTTATTTTCTTAAACTTTAGTCAAACGGGGAAAATAAATTAGACATGGAGGGAGCATGAGTAGGAATCTAGGATTTTTCATGGTTGTACTTTGCAAAAGATAGAAAGTTGTGTGCGGGCAAATTGTTGTACTTTGCAAAAGATAGAAATTTTGCAGTGTGGGGGCATTGGTCATTCCTTGACGATCCCTCTTCATTTCGCTCCAAAAAAATTAAACTCTAAACATTATGTCACGCACAAACATATTTTGCAGCTTCTCCAACTTCCTCGTTCTCCTAGTGTGGATGAAATACTTGGCCAATACAGTGCCTATCGGCAAAAGAAAGATGGGATGTGAGTTCATCTTTTTTCACATTTTCCATCATATCTCTGATAACTTCTTTTTTCATCAGCAGGCTCTTTGTTTCTTTTTCAACTTGGGGATCGTAGTAATTTGATTTCTTTTTTCCTAGTTATAGGGCCTCACGGTATGTACTTTAATGCTATTTTGTGTGTATGCTTGATAAAGGGTAGCTGATTCACTAAGGGAAATTCTCAGTGGATTGCAACGTTACTTTGACAAAGCATTGTCAGCCTTGCTGCTTTACAAGAATGAGCGTGACCAGTATGAAGTAGCAATTAAAGATGGAGTCTGCCCTTCGTTTGTCTATGGTGCTGAGCATCTATTGCGCTTGTTTGGTATTGATGCTACTAACTCATTCACATTTCCTCCACCCAGTTGGTTCTTGGTGCACCTTCTTATGTATGGGGAACAAACCAATCATATTTGAATTTTGATGTCGTGCTTCTTTCATCCAATGTGTATGTTTGGCAGTTAAATTGCCTGAAATATTGCACCATGCAAATATTGAGGATGAGTCAGTGATTGAGTTACAGCAGGAATTACAGGACTTCCTCAGGTAAATACGATTGTTCTTCACTTCATCCCATGTTTGTTAGGGTCCTTTTGGAACCTAGAAAATGATCAGGAAAGATACCAAGGATAAAAATATAAAAAGACATTTGAAAGAAACTAAATGCAGGTTAAATACAAAAGCATGCCCCAACTCCATAAGCCAGAATCTGATATTTCATTTAAATACTGCTTGTATTATATAAAGATTTTTTTCGTATATATTAGTACTAAGTAACCATCCAATAGGTGAAAAATGTTACGTAGTAACTTTTTTAGCACAAAGATGTTATCAACCAATGGTTTTCTTTTGCAATATGTAATTTTGCAACGTAAAACTGAACATAAAAAACAATCCTCGTCAATTTCCCCACATCCACTAGGCTACCATTTTCTGGGGTTCAAGCATAGTCTTAAGTCACAATACAAAGGAAAAATTCACATGAATAATCTATCTATCAAGTATCAACGATCTTCCCATATTAATCCCAAATATGTATAATTCCAAAATAATCTAATTTATATAGTGTAGCTTTTAAAAACAAATCCGTGACCTGAATAAACAAGTTTAGCAGGTTGTCAAGCCACATGAATTAATATAATTGGTCTTTATTTGTTTTGATTTTCCATTTCTTTCTATTCTATTCTATTCTTTTCTTTTCTTTTCTTTTCTTTTTGCCTTATTCTTTTTCTCTCAGTCACCTCTGCTCCGTTTGATCTCCTTCTTTTTCATTTTTCTTTTCACTTTTCTCCTCTTTTTCTTCTACTTGCTTTTCTTTTTGGCCTTCACCACTTGAGCCATACACAGCGAACTTGCATGAGCGGTTCTAAAGGGGGGGATCTTATAGGTGCCACCCATTCCAGTAGCATGTATTTGGAGCTCAATATGAAGTCTTATTTTGACCCATTCGGATAAGGGAACCCTCCAAAATTGCTTTGAAATAAAATCCATGCTTTGAGCCTTTCTTTAACCAGAACTGGGGAGGATGAGAGGAAAGGGGGGTGAAAATATCCCATCAATAAAGCGACGGGAAGGAAGAATAGAAAGCCATCATTCCCACTTTTTCATATTCAAAAGAAATTTAACCCTTGATGATAAGGTAGGACAGCTTTGAACGTAGACAGTAGACACCAAGACTCCTTCATCCTTATCCTCCTGTCATCTCGCTCTTTGGAATTTTGTCCAATTTTATTATGTCTAAACATGGTCAGGTAACAGACTCATGAGAAGGTAAAAAAGAAAAAAAGGACTTGAGAAGAGTACTGGATGGGAGTAGAGTTGTTAATGGATCGAACTTTTATCGAACTATTCGAGTTCGAGCTCGGTTTCGAACCTAACGAGTCGAGCTTAACGAGCTTTCGAACTCGAAACCGAGCTGAGTTTTAAGTTCGAAAAATTAATCGAACCGATCTCGAACATAGTAGTATTTGGCTCGGTTCGAGCTCGAGCTCAAGCCTATCAAACACCTGGAAATTATAAATATAATTTATACATATGTCAATAACTTGTTTAATTTAAATATATATCAACGAGCATCACCTAAAACTTGGAGCATATTTATCGACCTTATCGAGCGCTCGATTCTAACATCCAATGCCTATCAAGCCGAACACAAGCCTCATTTGTAAAGCTCGACGAGCTTCGAGCTCGAACATCCCTATTACTGAATCGAGCCAAACTCGAGCTCTGGGTGTTCGGGCTCGGCTCGGTAACAGCCCTAGATGTGAGGCAACACGTGGGAGATGAACAAAGCTTTTTTCCAGTCATATACATTCAAAGGATATATGCTCAAGGGTGTTTACCTGTTAAACAAGTTGCAATTACCTATGACTATTTTTGAGAAGGATTATGGATACCCCTTAAATTCAGATTATTTTGGAATTATACGTATATGAGATTAATATGAGAAGATTATTTTGGAATTATTGATGTGAATTTCCCCCCCATATAAATTAATCCCGCTAAATACGTAGCAGACAAGGTAAGGGTTTAATGGCTATTCATTCAATATAATCGAGGGCCCGAGGGGGTAAATGTTTACTAGCCTAAATTCAAGGGATTAAGTGAAAGTATCATAATCCATAACTTGGACTGAAGCTGGCTGTTTCCCATCACCAGGTGGGTGGGTGGGGGTGTTTTCTGGCATGAACTTACAGGACATTTTAATTTTTTTTTGCGACAAACCCAGGTTCCTACACAAGAATCAGAGCTCATTCTTCGCATCATTTTACATTAATTGATCCTCAAGGTTGTGCTGCTGATGCGGCGGCTCCAAGAAAGAAAGAAATCAGATGCTTAGCTTTGGCCACTACCAGTTTGTATTTTGTAATATTATAATATTAAAGTATTAAGCTGTGAACGAGCCAATCCACTTATCCACAGTGTCTGTCTCTTGCTTTTTAGATGAACTGCCTTTTGCCGTGAACGTTTTCAGGTGGTTCTAGCTCCATGTACTAGTGCCCTTGCAACACAGGGTTTAACAACACTATTTTCAATTTTATGTCCAATAACTGAATGAATTTCTCTTTACCCAACCCGTGCAATCCGGACCTCTCGATTCCTCCAACTTATGAATTGAACTTTCAAGCTTAGTGATGGGAAAACATCTGAGAACACTGCCAAGTGCCAAATGTATGGATGTATCATGTATGTAGCATACATTTTCTCTCCTTAGAATTAGGCTGTTTGAATGAGTAATATTGCCAAGCAAAGGATGGAGCTATTGGTATATGTCATACGTGGATATATTGATACACTTTCACTAGATTATTAGTACATGTATCCGTTTAAAAAATAGTCATGGTAAAAGACATCATAAGAAATCTATAGTTTGGGTAATGGTGAACCTGCCTCACGTGTGGGTGGGTCCACATAGTAGCTTCATGGGTGGGTGTGGGTTTACACTGTCTTTCCTACTTCGACTCATTGCCATTATGCCATACCTACTTTTAACAAGTAGCATTGTATATAGCCTTCTTATATGTCATTATGTTGTAAGGCCTATATAGTTCGTGGTTTAAGGTTCAATCCGATTTGGAATTGGAATTGGAATCGGAATAGCTGATTTTTCAATCGGAACCGGAACTGCATTGTACATCTGCTTTGGAATTAGAGGTTCATTTTGGTTCGGTTCTCTCAGAACCGGACTTCCTTCTCATCCATCCAACCCATCAAGATCATCTCCTTTATCGGATGCCCTCAACACCCATTGTTCGGGGAAGAGACTCAATCAGTTGACTATCAACGTTATTTGATGATTTTGTACCACCAAAACCTCCGCCATCAATCGATTTTTTCTCTCAATTTTTGGCTCACAGATGATAGTGAGCATATTTCTTTTTATTGCAACATGCACACCAACTTTTGATAGCACTTATTCAATCAGTTGACATTTGACAATGGGGAAATTTACAGCTTTAATATCATAGCTTTCAAGTGTGCTCGTTATCAGTCCTGTAACATTATTTACTTGCGAATTTGGTCATCTAACTAATAAGTATGTGAGCGATCAAAAAAAAAAACTAATAAGTATGTGAGATCTAAGGATTTTCGGGTAGAAAGTACACTTTTCGGCAGAAAAATATATTCGATGTCGTTGATGTGTTTCCACATATATTTTCAACCAAAAAGTGTATAATCCTTTATGTGCAGATTTTTAGTTCCAATGCTGAATGTACAAACGAGTAAATTTACAGGACTAGGACTAATATTGGGCATATACGCGCAGGGTTGGACTCGGGCCGTGTCGGGTGCGGGTCGGGCCTAGGCCCGGGTGGGCCGCCGGTTTTGAAAAGTTGGGCCCAGGACCGGCCTGGGTAGCTACCGGGTTCGGGCCGGGCCTCGTTTTTTTTGCTTTCCTAAGTATCCCTGACCCCCCCCCCCACCCCCCCAAACCCCTTCTAAACATCAAGTCCAACCCAGGTGGAACCCAAAAAAAATGAAAAAACAAAAAAAAAAAATCAATTTGGCCCGAACCGGGCCCGGCCGGGTCGGGTCTCATTTTGAAGGAACCGTGCCCGGAACCGTCTCCCCCTCGGACCGGGTCAAAGCCCGGTACCTGGACCGGTGAACCGGGATGGTCCCGGACCCGCACAGTAGCAGGCCGGGCCAGTTCACGGGCCGGGTGGCCCGACCCGAGTCCACCACTATATACGCGCTATCAAAAGCTTCAGAGTAAAATTGCAAATATACCATTAAAAATAATAAAAAATATAGCGATATTTCTTATGTATGACAACTGACAAGTTTTAATTTTTATATTCTGAGTGGTGCCAATTTTAGAGTATCGCAAGTCTTCATTTGTATGTTTGTAAAAAAACAGTATTCCATTTTTAGGAAATGAAAACGGGTGAGATGGAATTGAACTTCATGTGTTTTCGGGGGTTGCTAGACGCACCCCCATAAATGTAACCATCGAGAGACTGATTTACCCTTTTAAACTTGCTTTTAAACTTGTTAAGGGAAGCCGTATTGAATTTCAATCACTTTTAAAATTAACTTTCGAACAACAATTTTAAATTTGACAGCCCTATAAATGCCATAGCTACCTAGTAAGTAGGATCACACGGCTTGGTCCATGTCAATTTTACATTCAATCTTCATCCAATAATATGCAGCCGTGTGGCAAATAATTCCTTTTTTATTAAATGTTATAACTTTTTCATTTTTGCTCCAAATTTTATAATAATTCCATCAGATTAAATAATTTGAGAAAAGGGGCAAATAAGGCCACGTACTAAGCAAAAAATGTCAAATAAGGCCTTATTTAAGAGAATCTGTCCGGCCATCGCCATTTGGGGTGGTTCCCGGTGGAATTTTTTAATGAAAGTTTTTGAGCATCTTATTCAGTAAGTCTAGTTTACTAATACCAAATTTTCTTCACGTACAAACGAGTAGAATAGAATAGATTTGTGAATTTGATGAAGTTTAAGTCTGTTTTTGGTAGAATAAATTTTGAAAAGAAGAAAATCATAATTGTTGAAAAAGATGAAGTTTGAGTCTTTCTTTGATAAAAGTGAAAGAATAGAATAGATTTGTGAATTTGATGATAGTTGTGGAATAATGGAACAGGTTGCCCTCTAAGGAGCCCTGACTGATATATATATAATAAAATAAATGTCACAAATACAATTGGGTTAAGCCCACTATTACACCCCCTCAAGCTGTGCGGGAGATACAACGTGCAGGTTGTTTTTAAGGAAATTAAATTGCTGACTAGAAAGACTTTTTGTAAAAATATCAGCAAGTTGAAGATGAGTAGGAATGTATTTGACAACCAGATCACCATGTGCCACTCTCTCACGAACAAAATGATAATCAATCTGAATATGCTTACTCCGAGCATGCTGAATAGGATTAGCAGTCAAGTATGAAGCTGAGATGTTGTCACAAAAAAGCTGTACAGGTGCGGTAATAGAAAATCCAAGCTCAAACAAAATAGATCGCACATGTAAGGTGTCCTGGACCGTATAAGCTATAGCACGATACTCAGCTTCGGTAGACGACTTGGAGACGGTAGGCTGCTTTTTGGATTTCCAAGAGATAAGATTAGGACCCAAGAAAACAGCAAACCCAGTAGTGGAGCGAGAAATATCCGGACACCCTGCCCAATCAGCATCGGAATAAGCCATAATATAGGTGGGTCGAGCAGATGCCTGGAGCCAGAGACCATGATCAAGAGTGCCCTGCAGATATCTAAATATACGCTTGACAGCAAGCATGCGAGTAGTACGGGGAGCATGCATAAATTGAGACACTAAATGTACTGCATAAGTAATGTCAGGTCGTGTCAAAGTTAAATATTGTAATGCACCAACCATACTGCGGTACTCAGTGGCATCTGCAAGAAGTTCACCATCAGTGAGAGAGAGAGTGGTATGAGTAGCAAGGGGGGTACGAACACACTTGAGAGTGTGTAGGTGAAAGCGAGTGAGAAGATCAGATACATATTTTTGCTGAGAAAGAAAAAGACCCTTAGGAGTTCGAATAGACTGAACCCCAAGAAAATAATGCAAATCACCTAAATCTTTCACAGCAAAGTGACTAGCAATAAGTACAATGAAAGAATTTACCAAGGATGGAGAAGAGCCAGTAATAATTATATCATCTACATATAATAATAAATAAATGACAGAATTATTATGGCGATAAATAAAGAGAGAATGATCAGACTTACTACACACAAAATTATGCGCAAGTAAAAAGCTAGAAAATCTGTGAAACCAAGCTCGCGGGGCTTGCTTGAGGCCATAGATTGCCTTACGCAAGCGACACAAATGAGTAGGGAACTGGGGATGAATAAAACCCCGCGGCTGACGCATGTAAACTTCTTCTGTGAGATATCCATGTAAAAAAGCATTTTTAACATCTAACTGACACATAACCCACCCAAAAGAAATAGCAAGAGTTAGAACCAAACGAACCGTGGTGGGTTTAACAACAGGACTAAATGTCTCAGAAAAATCAACCCCGGCCTGCTGATTAAAACCCTGGGCCACTAAACGTGCTTTATGACGCTCAAGAGAACCATCTGAATGGTATTTAGTTTTATAAATCCCCTTCGACCCAACCACATTTTTAGTGTTATCAAACGGAACCAGCTCCCAAGTATTATTTGTGATAAGTGCATTAAATTCATCTGCCATAGCCTCACGCCATTTAAAATGCTTATTAGCCTCAGTAAAACAAGTAAGATCAGCAGAAGTAACAATTGTGTTTAAACTAAAAATGGATTTGGGTTTGAAAATTCCGGACTTTGCCCGGGTTTGCATAGGATGAACGTTCAGAGGCGGACCAGTAGACGAGGTTGACACATTGGGGAAAGACGGGGGAGTGAGGTTGTGCTACTGTGGCAGAAGGGTTATCTGTGGAAGAAGGGCTAGGAGTGGTTTCTGCCGAGGCAGTGGGTGGGGTGGAACTTATGGCAGAATGGTGTGGGATGGATGGTGGGGAGTTTATGACAAAATGATGTGGGATGGATGGGGGAGAGCTTATGGCAGAATTATGTGGGATGGATGGTGGGGAGCTTATGGCAGAATGATGTGGGATGGATGGTGGAGTGTGGCATAGTACTTCGGGTGTGGTGCAGGGAGGAGAAGTAAGGGAGATGTACTGCTCCATACCTGCAGGAGCTGCAGCCGGTGGAGGGAGAGGAGATTCGACTATGGGAAGGCTTGGGAGTATAGGAGCGAAGGCAGTGGGTGGAAGGATAGTAGGAGGAAGAGTTTGGAGGGATGACTCTAAGGGAATTTGGGAGGAGGATGGAGAACCTAATTAGTGAACAAACGGAAAACTAGTCTCATGGAAACGAACATGACGGCTAACGTAGACCCTACCAGACTTAGGCTCAAGACAACGGTAACCTTTATAACTGGATGCATAACCAATGAACACGCAATGGACAGAACGAGGAGAGAGTTTATTAGAGGAAGTGGCAGAGATATTTGGAAAACAAGCACATCCAAACACCCGTAAAAAAGAGTAATCAGGAATTTTGTGGAAAAGTTTCTCATAAGGAGAAAGGCCAAGAAGAATGGGAGAAGGTAATCT